GTCTGATACAGGCCATGATCTTTGCTATCACTTGTTATGCATCAGAGAGTTGGACAATGACTAAGGAGGATAGAAGAATTGATGCCTTTGAGCTGTGGTGCTGGAGAAGAGTACTGAATGTACCATGGACTGCCAAGAAAACAAACATTCATCCTGGAGAGGGTTAAACCAGGCTGTTCCTTGGAGGTAAGAATTCTGGAGCTTTGTCTGACATACTTTGGACATGTTGTAAGGAGGGACCAGTCCTTGGAGAGGGACCTCATGCATGGGAGGGTGGAGGGACGGCACAAGAGGGGTAGACCCTCTATGAGGTGGATTGATTCAGTGACTGGGGTAATCGGGATGGGTGTGTTGGAGGCAGTGCAATTGGCACAGGATAGAGCAGGGTTTAGGGCTGTTGTACATAGGGTTGCTATGGGTCTCAAGAGACTCCATAGCACATAACAACAACAACAACAACCTGTCTTTGGAGACCCTTTATTCCTGGAGGGTTTGTGTATTAGTCACAACTGGTCAAATTATGCAGCAGCAACAAATGCCTTCCAAATTTCAGTGGCTTTTATTGTCAGGGGTTTTCTTCTTGTACATAACATGACAATGATTGCTCATTTTAACCTCTTAAGTTATCTTTATGCCAGGACCTAGGATAACAAAACCTCTGCCTACAACACTGCTGGTCAACATGACAGAAGGTAAAGAGGCATGGTGACTCATGAGCTAAGTCTTCAAGTGCCATATAGAATTCCCACTTTTATTTCACTGGCCAAAAGCAAGCCATACAGCCAAACATGAGTTCAACAGTGTAAGCTGTTAGTTGAGTCAGTGCAGGGAGGAACCACCTCATAAAGTCATAAAGTCAAGTCTGACATCAACAGAGAATATATATCCAATCTCTTCGTAGGGAGGAAAAGTTAACAATTATAAACAACAATAAACCTATCATAATATGCCTTCTTTCTAATTTATTCTATCCTTTTCATGGAATGCATTTCCCCCCCCCCACCTTGAGGGTTTATAGCTTTTTCATGCCTTTATTGTTTCAAGAGAGTTTTAGGAGAACGATAAGCAAGTATATTCAATCCTCCAACCTTAACCAGATGTTCACCAAGAATGAATTTAAAAGAGAATGTTTAGTATATGACCTGTTTGGAGGATGGGGGTTGTTTTTAATTATCACTTTCACTTAATGTACCATTTTTCAGTTTTTATAGCAGTTTTTCTAGTTCCTAAAAATGCCAATGAAACATTCTAATTGTACCTGCTTTGATGGTATATTTTGTAGAGAGTTAGGATTCTAACTAAAGGCAGTTGCTCTCTGGTGGTTTGAATCCTGGGAGGTGAAAGATGGTCATTCTCCTACTATGTGACTAATGGCAATAAATTTGAGTTTCTTCTGTAAAACAAAAAGCTGGGTGAGTTTGAACTGTCATTCTTTGAGTTAGAAGCAAAGCATTTTAACTGGTATGCCAAGAATCCTAAAGGGTTACAAAACCATAGGAGAAGAATAAAATAGAATGTATAGAATTCCTGAAGGACAACTCAATATCCAAGCTGCACCTAATCCTAGCTATGTTCTTTTCAATTGCTTGCCATGTATCTGAAAGCTAGACAATGATTACAGATGATAGAAGAAGAATTTATGCCATTAAGTGATGGTGCTAGAGAAGAGTATTAAATCTCTCATGGATTTCCAAGGGAACAAATGGTCTGTCCTGGAGAAAGTGAAAGCAGGGTGCTCCTTGTGGCAAGGATGGTGAAACTCCATCTCACATATTTTGGGCATTTTAGCAGGAGAGGCCAGGCCTTGGAGAAGGACATCCTGCTTATAAAGGTGGAGAGTCAGTGCAGGAGAACACGACGTTCCGAGAGATGACTGACACAGTGACTTTAACAATGGAGTATAAGTGTGTCAGAGAAGATGGTGAGGTTGGCTCAGCATAAGGCAAGGTTCAGAGCCATTTCATAAGGTTGCGATAAGTCACAGTCAACTTGATGGAACATAACAACAACAACAACAACAAAAACAAAAACAACAACGGGTTACTAGACCATAGGACAATAATAAAAAGGAAGTGGTTAAATTCACCTTTAATTAAATTACTTTGATTGTATTTGAGCAAAATTGAAAGTATTTTTATCAAACATCTCTTTTGATTCCCAATTAAATGAAGAGTTTGAAATTTTTCACTTTTTTATTTTAATTTTAAGTTCACCTAATTCAAGAGAAGAATACTTACCTCCTTAGATTTTGGGGAGTTTTTAGCACCTAGTGAATCTGAACATCTCTGTGAGAGAACTCACCACAAACCTGTGTCACTTCTACCTTGTTCTATTGACACAGCCAAATATGATATGTATAGCCCAAAGTAAAATGCCCAGACCATACAGAGATTTTTGATCATCTAGATTTTGAGGAGATTAAGTCTTCAAAAACAGTCCTGAGTGAAGCAGAGTTCTTTGTCCAAAGGGTGCTGAGTTAAATTACACATCACTAAAAATTATATTGACTATATAAAATTATTACATAAGAATATATGAATTATATTTTAAGAAATTGAGAAGAATCTAAGACTCCAAAAGCACCACTGGTAAACTATAGTGTGCACATTTGATGCTAAGAATGGAAAAGACTTGTATAAATAAACTAAAATCGAATGACTGTGGCAGCAAAGGCAATCAATACCAGACATTAAGGAGGTGGGGAAAAAAGTAAACCCAAAAAGGTGAATAGTTCCATCTCCTTTCATTCTTGTTCAGCAGATTTCATTTGTTCCTTATGGAAATTCACCAGAAACATTTTAATATTTATCCCAGAGTCTGCCTTCAATTTGCATTCTCATTTAATATTAGAGAGAGCAATATAGGTGGTGTGGGAAAAGTAATGGAACTGAAATAAAAATCTGGATTTTATGCAGGTCTGTCACCTCACTAAGCCTCAGTCTTCTCATCTGCAAAAGGGCAGTGCTGGCGTCTACCTATGATTACTAAATACATTAAAACACAATGCCCAAGGGTGCAACAATGAATGAATGGAATTCCAAAATCTCTGTAGATGTTCATTGAAATGAAAAATAAACAACCTAAATTTAAAAAAAAACAAAACACAATGCCCAGAACAGTGTTCAACAGAAATATAACATGTACCACATCGTATGTGAGCCTACATAGGTAATTTTTCACTTAAAAAAGTAAAAAGCAGATGAAATGAAGTTTAATAATATATTTTATTTAGTCTGATATATTAAAAATATCAATGAACATATACTAAAAATATGAACAATATTTTTGCATTTCTTCATACCAAGTCTTTGACTTCAGTGTATGCTTTATCCATATATCACAGCTCAATTCAGACCAGTTCACATTTCCAGTGCCTGGCAGACACATGTGGCTGCTTGACCTCCATCATGGGCATCACAGGCCTAGTTTGTACTGGATATACTCTTGGGACTCTGGACAGTTATTTTTTTAATCAATCACTAAGGTGAATTTGTGTTTTACTATTTTGGTATATAGTGTATTATGTGTGAAACGGATGAAAAATGAAAATACACTAACTTGACCATATAACTATCAAAAATAAGAACAATCACTTGGTTTATTAAGGTAATCATAAAATTATTAAGATTTGAATGACATATTAATTTGACATATAATCTAATAACATCAAAAAAGAAAATAAACCTGACATAATTATAAGCACACAAACCATCCAAACAACTGTAATTTACAATCAAGTATACCTTCTAGCAAAGAAAGAGGACTGGAAAACAGATTATGTCTTTTTTTTTTTTTTTACCAACATAAAGACAGGGTGTCTTTACCCTCATTATGCCCCCATTAAGGGCCTTATTAGGGGTTTCCAACCCTTGAGCTTCCCGAAAAATCCTCTTTTTTTTTTTTTCCCGAAAAATCCTCTTGTCCCAGCGTCTCACCTGGGGACCAAGGAACCCGCCTGGACACAACCGAGCAGGAACTGCCAGATTATGTCTTAATACGACAAAGCTTTTTACTTCATGGGACCTACCCTAATAAGTCATATTACAATTTTAATAGCATCTATTTTTTTCCTCTTAAGAATTGAACGGCTCTACCAAAATAATGGGATAACTATATATCAACCTAATATGTTAGATACTATATCAAGATGATACTATACCCACTTTAAAACAAATCAGTGGGGTTAAAGGGCTAAATATTATTAATAATGATGCATTTATTAAAATTGCACTCATTAGTATATCAGAAAAATTCTTACATCTTGAGCTCAAAAGCAGGCTGTAAAGTGTATAGAGAACATCTTAATAGCAAGCAAAGCTTTCTGAAAGCTACTAGCAAATCACAAGTGGATCTGCATGCGTGTGCACACACATTTATTCATTTATTATGTGTTTTCTTGCTTTTAGAGATGCTCTTGAAGTTCATGTATTTTTTAAATCAGTCTTTTCTCTGGGATGCCCAACAGTTCAATCAACACAAGTGGTCAGATAAATTTTACAAGAGGGAAGTGACATTTGACATTTATCCCATGTCAAATTTGACAAGGGCCATTTACTTACCTAATGCCAATAATACAAAATGATATACAATTCTTAATGACCAAGAACTCTCTGGACTTTGATATCTCAATTATATTCAAAAGATGCTTTTCCAGAGTTTAGGTATCGGCCCTATCTCAAATACTTTGTCAGGATTCTTGGTCAGAACTGATAGGCAAGGAAGAAAAACACTAGCTGAACCATTAATTCCCGTTTTTTTTTCTGTGTGGCACTACTTATGTAGGTCCCTTTGTAATCTCTTGATCAATAATCTATCTCATATAGCCCTGCTCAGGTTTAAGATCTCCCTGATGGGTTATGATATTGTATTAGACATGCACTTCCCAAGTTAACCCCCAGAGTCAGTAATACTAAGCACAAAAATGAAGAGACAGACTGCACAATTTAAAAAAGCAACCAAACTTCAGATCTAAAACTGCCAATGCATCAAAAAAGACTCACATCTGGCATTTCTGTAGAGAAGGAAAGGGTCCTGGAGTTGGAAATCCAGGTCTTTAGTAATAGGTTCTGTCCTGTTTTCCATGCTCAGTCTATTCATAATGGTAAATCCGTGCTTTGGAGAAGCAGACCTAAAAAATCACCAGAAGAGGAAAGGGTATCAAAAGGCAAGTCACTCAGTATATTTCTAGAATAATCTGATTTGTCTCTCAACCTTTTTTACATGTATATATGGCTTTATGTAAATAGAGGAAATCAAAAAGCGTATCGCGGTGGGAAAGTCTGCTGTTAGGGACCTCTCTAAAGTACTCAGGAGCAACGGTGTCTCTCTGGAGACTAAGGTGCACCTGATACAGGCCATGGTCTTTGCAATCGCTTGTTATGCATCAGAGAGTTGGACAATGACTAGGGAGGACAGAAGGAGAGTTGATGCTTTTGAGCTGTGGTGCTGGGGAAGAGTACTGAATGTACCATGGACTGCCAGGAAAACAAACAGATTCATCTTGGAGAGGATTAAACCAAGCTACTCCTTGGAGGCAAGGATTCTGGGGCTTCGTCTGACATACTTTGGACATGTTGCCAGGAGGGACGGGTCCTTGGAGAGGGACATCATGCTTGGGAGGGTGGAGGGACAGTGCTGGAGGGGAAGACCCTCTATGAGATGGATTGATTCGGTGACTGAGGTAATCAGGATGGGCGTGTCAGAGGCAGTGCAGCTGGCACAGGATAGAGCAGGGTTTAGGGCTGTTGTGCATAGGGTCGCTATGAGTCGAAAACGACTCGATGGCACATAACAACAACAACATATAAAACAATATTTCTTTACTATTTCTGGAAGTCAGCTGTGAGTCGGTTCCAACTTCACGGTACACAATAACATGCCATACAGTATGGTCCACAACAACTTGTCATATAATATGGTCATTACCATTTCTTGTTGTTGTTGTTATGTGCTGTCAAGTTGCATAGCGACTCAAGGGATGGTGACTCATCTCATATGAGTATGAGATGAGTCACCATTCCTTGAGTAAAGTTAAATTTTTCTTTTTAACTCTCTGCGGGTATGTGTATGTGCATGCACAGAAAGAGAGGACTAGAAATTCCTTAAGGTAGAGAAGATACATATGTTGTTTTTAAATTGCTGGCCAACTTTTTAAAGAATCTGGTTGTTAATGTAGAGTATACATCACATTTACATGAAAAGTTCTGAGCAAATTTTAGTGTTGACCTGAAATGGCAAGATATAAAATATCTTAGATAAATGATACTGCTCAGCTCACTCAAATTGTGATGAGATAGAGTATAATTAAAAATTTAGCTTACTGTAAATACCAGATATTCTGATTCCTTTGATGGTAAAGCATACATCATGCATAAATTAGTAAAAAAGCTTTTCTCCATAAAATTGTGGCATTTAGAAGAGACTTCACTTTTCATTTCATTCAGTACCTCCTTTCTATTAATCAGAAAGAACTCATATTATACAGAGTTTAAACTCTAACAACTCCATGCACATTTGTCTGCTTATGAGTGACAGCCACACAGTAATTCAGCTGTGAGATTTCTGGTGACAAGTACCACATGTTTCCACACTGAAACGGAAACAAGCAGAATTCAGTTATTTACTTTAAACTAGAGTTAAGAAGCCCATACAGATTATCATGAGAAACAAGAAAGAAGGTGTTTATATCTTAGTTCTATTTCCCTAACAATTTGATTCTGATAAAGAAGTAAAATGCACCCTCTTGAATTGCCACGCTACCACTTATACGATTTTCTTTTGAAACCTGCAATTTTTAAATTGATGGAATGCAATCTTTGCCTTGCTTATTTTACAATGAGGTTAAAAAAGAGGTGGTATGCATAGAATCAATAGCAGGAATAATCATGATAATAATTTCAGCTTAACTGTGAAGGGAAGAAAATGGTAATTCACTTCCGAAGAGCCCTGATAGGAAGGCTCCTCTGAAGTATCAAGTTCAGAAATTAAAACTCTAATACAGGAAGGATGACATGGGAGGAAATAATGCACGGAAACCATTTCTAATGGGATTAAGTGTTTCTATACACGATTAGAATTTGATTCTCCAAGTACTTCATTATCACAACAGGATCTCACCTCTTTAATGGTGCAGGTACTACACCAATTGCCGTTAAATCCACTGCAACTCCTGGTGACCCCGTGAGAGTAGACCTGCACCTATTCCATAGGGCTGGGAATGCTGCTTCTGTGGTGCCTCTGGGTGTACTCAAACCTTCAAGCTTTCCATCAGCAGCCAAGTCTGCTAACCATTTCTACTACCCAGCCACTATACTATCATAATTTATAAAATAGATTCTGTGTAAAATATGCCAACTGGGCTAAAGCAACTTCTATAAAAGGGGTAAAAATATATTACTGCTTAGCTCCATGACATGTACACAAAACTCTTTCGATTTTTATAAGTTTTCTACCATTCTCGACTGAGGAAGGCCTTCAGTATGACTGTAGTGCAGCTGCTTACGACTAGGCCCGAGTTCCCCCGGGACTTATAGAATGTAGTGTGTTTTGGTTTTGGCATACTCCTTGCTGTCAAGTTAGAACTAATGCGTACCTGAACCTCCAGTGGGTTTTCAGAGGCTACAGATCCATGGGAGGAGACTGGCAGTCTATCTCCCTTGGAGGCACTGGTGGATTCAAATCACCTGCCTCTGAGTTAGCAGCACAACCTTTGACCATTTATACCATCAGAGGGGTTCCTAGACTTGAGGGGTTAAATTAAGAGCTAGGGAAGTATCTGTTTCTCAATTTAGTGGTTTATTTAATTGACAGTCCCACTAGCAAGCTGGAGTATATTAAGATTTACTTGAATATAAAACTACATTTGGTTTGGATACAAAAGAGAAAATGCTTGTACAGTTTGTTACTTTTCCATACCTTAAAACATATAAACACACACAACACACTTAAAATCTCAAAATTATTAGTGCATTTGGTTACATCTATTTTTCCCCTTCTTAAAATACTACTACTTGATTTGAGAAATTAATAACAATATATACTGTGTGCTTGGTTTTCTTTTTATATTTAAAATTCTCAGAGTAGTCTACACTGAATATACTCACCTGGTGGCATGCTCTAAGTTTTGAAACATAATATAAACTAATATATCTGATTATTCTTAGGCATTCTCACCATTTTTCTTCAGCTATTAATGAATAAACTGACCTTGTTGCCTGTTTAGATGGTCTCACCCTTCTGTTCCTTTTTTTCACTCCTAGTACAGTCTCCACTTAAGTAGACCTTCATTCTTAAGGCTGACCTGTCTCTGATCCTATATGCACACATATAACACCACCCTTTTTGCCTCTTAATGTTCTAGTAATGATTCTCTGGTGCCTTAGTGGCAAGAAGCTGCACTGCAATCCCAAAGGTGTGCAGTCCAAGGCCACTAGCTGCTCTGTGTGAGAAAGATGGAAAATCTTCTCTCCTGTGATTAACTGCCTTTGAAAACCCACTGGAGGGTCAGCTATGATTCAGTTCTGACTCTGTGTTACACACAACAACAAAAACAACTGCTTTTTTCTCTGGGTCTTCTCTATATCCTTTATTGTCATCACTGCCATTGAATAAATTCCAACTCATCACAGCTCCATGCACACAGACCAAAGCACAACTCACTCCTGTGTCATTCTCACAACCGTTGGTACTGTTTGAGCCCACAGTTGCAGCTCCCGAGTGAGTCTATCTTGTTGAGAATCATCCTTTCTGCTGACCTTCTCCTCAGACTGGTTCTTCCTGATAATTTGTCCAACATGAGACCCAATCCTTGCTTCTCAAGAGCATCGTGTCTGTGTGTTGCCCAAGACAAATTTTTCATTCTTCCTGCAGTCCATGGTATATTTAATATTCTTCACTAATACCATAATTCAAGTGCATCAGTTTTTCTTTGTCTCATCATTAATGAAACAGCTTGCCTCCAGAAACCCTATGAACTTGTAGAAATGAAAGTTATACAAATGTTCAGGTCTTTTGTTTATAGGGGCATTATGAGTCATCTACAACTTGACGGCACTAAACAGCAAGACTTACTAATGAATATGTGTTTGCATGCATATGGCTTGGGTCAGGCATTTATTCCTCAGGGTGATAACTTTGATTTTTTTAACACTTTTAGAGAAGACTTTTGAAGGAAATTTGGCCAATGCAACAGGTCATTTGATTTCCTGACTGCTACTTCTATGGAAGTCGATCATGATAGAATGAAGTTCTTGACAACATCAGCCTTTTCTCCATTTATCATGATGTTGTATATTGGTTCAATTATGAGAATTTTTGTTTTCTTCATGTAATGTGACATCCATACTGAAGAGTGTAATCTGCTCTTCATCTGTAAGTACTTCAGGTCCTCTGAGTACTGTAGGTTGATAGTGAATAGTGTTCTTCTATGGTTCAGCTTCTCAATTTATCTCTATCTTTGCTGGTCCCTAAATCCAAGCTTTGGCACTGTCAGTTTCCTCTATTAATGCTCTACTTCAGAGAACTTTTCCTCTCCGGGTTTCAACTATCACATTAACACAGATGACTAAAAGTCCTTTATCTTAATTTCAAAGTCAATCCTGAGTGGTTAGCCACCTCCAAGTGCAGTTCTGCTATTACATCAAAGTAAAACTAATATTTGTCTTCAGATCATACTAGCAACCTTTTTTCTACTCTGCTCATGGTTTCATCATTCCTCCAGGACTTTGTTCAAAATCTTAATGTTATTTTTAATTTCACTATTCCCTCTATACATCTTTCAGTAATTCTGTTCTTTTCCTTTTCAGCTTCTATCACTATCGTCCATTCTCTCATCATCTCTTATCTGTTTTACTGTAATAATCTTCTCAATGTCTTCCCTGGCTCAAATATTTTTCTAGAGCCAATGCACCCTCATAAGGTTAATGTTCCAACATTCTCTATACATTCTGGAATAACTCTATTACTGCTCTTCCCACCCAACCTTCAATGATTTCTTATTGCTAAGGGAATAAAATTCCAAATCTGTCATTCCAATTCTGGCAAAATCTCTTTACCTTCACTATCAGCTTCTAGCCAGTATAAATCCTCTGTATCAAAGAGTTCTTGTTTTTACCAGCCCTTTAATATACTAGGTTATACACTTCTGCAATGCTTTCAACTCAGACTGCTTTTCCTTCTTTTCAAGTATCTTAGACCCAAGGCCCAAGTTCAGATTCACCATTTCTATAAAAATTTCTATAATCATAGTAGGTTCCTCATTGCTTATAACCTATCAACTGAAATTTATAACATGTATTTTGATTGATCTTAAATGTAAATCTCTCTCTCTCTCACATACACATATATACACATATCTATGAGCATGCATATTATCTGTTCCTTGAATGAAATTATTATCCCCAGAAGGGTATGGACAAGGCCTTTGTATTTCATCTTTGCACATGCACTGAGTGATAGATTTTAGCTATGTCGTTGTTATGTGCTGTTGAGTTGCTTGCAACTCATTGTGACCCACCCTATGCATAATAGCCCTGAAACCTGCTCTATCCTGTGCCAACTTTACTGTCTCAGACACACCTACCCTTATAACCCCAGTCACTGAATTAAGCCATCTCATCGAAGGTCTTCCTCTTTCTCTGTCCCTCCACCCTTCCAAGCATAATGTCCTTCTCCAAGTACTGGCCCCTCCTTGCAACATGCCCAAAGTATGTCAGATGGAGCTTCAGAATCCTTGCCTCAGGGAGCAGCCTGGTTTCACCCTCTCTAGGACAAACCTGTTTGTTCTCCTGGCAGTCCATGGTAAATTCAACACTTCTCCAGCACCACAGCTCAAAGGCATCAATTATTTTTCTATCATCCCAAGTCACTTTCCAACTCTCTGACAAATAGCAAGCCTGGATCATTTTAGCTATAGTATTTTATATAAGTATCCATGTTAATAAAGTTAACAGAGTTTCAAGAAGCATTTTGTTTAGGAAGTGTATGTAACTCGGCTTCAGGCCTTTTGTTCATAGGGTCCCTATGAGTTGTGCTCAACTTAACAACGATCAACAACAACAACATTGTTAATAAAAGTTTTACTATTAAAAGAATGCATAGACTGTCTTTGTGTGCATGATGTTAACATCTGATAATAAGAAATTACTAGACCATGAGTTTATTGAATATGAACTGAAACATATTCCATTAGCTGGACCCCTGAGGTCTCAAAAACATCTTCAATTCTGGATCAAGTTTCTTTAAAGACTCAAGGAGGTGTATACCCAATAAACCCCCCTTCCAATATTAAGGTATACAGTATTCAGGTCTTTTGTTCATAGGGTCCCTATAAAGTTGTCTACAACTTGACAGCACTTAACAACAACATAGAGAGAGCTCTGTTGGCCTAGTGGATAGAAAGTTATGCTATCAGCAGAAAGGAATGAAACAGTTTGTCTCAGAGGCTTTGCTCTTAAGTCCTATACTATATTACTTCAAATAATCATTCAATAAATGATTATTATTCTTGTGAATAATAAAATAATTTGATTCTTAACTTAAAAAAAAAAAAAGGAAAGTTATGCTATCAAGCCAAAGGTGAACAGTCCTCAAGCCTGGTTTTAATTGTTTGGGTCAAAAATTCTTCTAAGTGGTACAGCACTGGTCTGTCAATTTGCTGTACAGAGGTAACTCGTGGTTGCTGTGATGCTAAACACTGTGACACTGATGTGCCAAATGTGATAAAAGTTCCCCTTGGTGGACAGTATTTGGTGGAGCTCCCCAATTAAAACAAGCTTGGGATCAGGAGTGGCATCCACTTCCAAAATACCTTGCCTCTGGAAACTCTATGAACTTGGAGAGCCGATGAAAGTTATACAAGTATTCAGGCCTATCATTCATAGGGTCGCTATGAGTCATCTAAAACTCAACAGCACTTAACAACATTCTAGTATTTTGCCAGTGAACTATATTCAAGACCCTTCTACTTTTCATTTGAATTGATAAAATATTAAAATTGATAAAGTAAAATATTTAAGCTTATTTATCTTGATGTTTAGGGAGCTCTGGTGGCCTTGTAGGTAAGGAGTTGGGCCGACAACCCAAAAGCAAGCAGTGTGACTCCACCAGCTGCTCCATGGGAGAAGGATGGGTGATTTCCTCCCATGTGATCTAGAGCCTCTGAAAACCCACTGGAGGGCCAGCCCTGAGTCCGTTCTGACTTGAAGGTCACAGTAACAACATATTGAGGTTTATAGAGCTCTGGTGGTGTAGTCCATAGTGTGCTGCACCACTAAACAAAAGGCAGTTCAAATCCACCAGTAGCTCTGAGGGAGAAAAATGAGGCGTTTCTTTGCAATAAGATTTATAGACTCAGAAACTCAATGGATGGTTCAATGGTAGCAAGTCTAAGTTGGAATATTGAGATTTAAATTATAGTCTGAAAGTCATATGCAGTAGAGTGCAGGAGGTACACTGCAGCAGTATTCTCTCACTTCATGTCAACCTATCAGTCTCACACTTAGATTATTGAGTTGCTGCTTCTCTTTGAAGTAAAAGTATACTTGACAAAGGATGATACAGCTAGGCTACATTATTATTTCAAAGGTTATTAGTTCCTTTACAAAGGTAAAATACTTACCTGGTATAAACAAAAAGAGTTCCTTCCACATCAGTCTTCTCCTGAAACAATAAAAAACAAAAAGCAAAGCAAAATATGCATTTCTCTTCCTTAATGGTATACATTCACAGAAGTCGGAAAACAAAAAACTTTATACAGGGGGAAAAAAAAGCATTATATCCCATTTCAAGTCAAAGCTGCAACCAGGCAAACAGATGCTCTGTGAGGGGTTATTCTTAGGAAAAGGAGAAAGCAGATCTCTGCCATGAGTGCAGTAGTATTGCTGATTAAGCAGCAGGAAGCATTTGTTCTCCTTTTGTCATTTACAAAATAAACCATCATTGGGGAGCTCTGGTGGCCTAGTGGCAAGAAGCTGCAACTACAATCCCAGAGGCTCACGGTTCTAATCCACCAGATGCTCTGCCGGGAAAAGGAGGGACAATCCCCTCCTGTACCAGTCAGATCTGATTTGACGGTACACTCACACAAAAATAAAAAAAAAAAAAAACCAAAACAAACAAAATAAACCATCATTATCTCTCTTTACTAAATACAGGGAAGGCAACACACCTCTGACTAAAACAGAAAACAACTGCATGGGCTCTGTGGATTTCATTAGAAAGAAGAGATTGTAATAAGTGTGCTGCCTTTTTCTCCACCTTCTGCACTGGGTGTGCAGCATGCTGCAGGAATCACTCGCACCTGCATTTCATTATCCTTCCTTTATTTTTCAGTTCATTTTCTTCTTGCGATATTCTGTCACCAAGGAGAGCAGATGATCTGCCAACAAGTCTGCTTGACTACTAGACAGATGAGGGCAGTGATGCTGCAGAGTTGTCAACCTGATAAATAACCTACTTGGTTGGAATATTTAGTTAAGTTCTGTTTGAAGAACTTCTGAAATAAAGTTAGAAATATTACTAAGCTAGGACTTGAGAAGTTTGCCCAAGGGAAGTGGGAAAGTAAAAAATGATAGTGAAGTGAATGTATTTGTCAAGGTTTCTTTCCCATTTCTCTAAAGGCAGAGACCCAAACCCCAATGAAAATGTCTTGTCAATATTAAAACATATGTTTGTTTGACTAATCCATAATTAATCAGTTACTGTCTAGCCATTTCTGATGCACTGAGAACCCATGTGTATCAGAGCAGAAATGGGCTCCACAGGGGTTTTATAGCTGACTTTTCAGAAGTAGACTGCCAGATCTTTTTTCCAAGGTGCCTCTGAATGGACTTGAACCTCTAACCTTTGGGATTAACCATTATTAACCATTTGCACTACCCTGGAACTCCAAAAAGTAATTGTTGCTGTTGTTCTGTGCAGTCAAGTCAGAACCAACCCATAGTTGACCCTCCAGCAGGTTTTCAGAGGCAGTAGATCACACAGGAGATTGTCCATCTTTCTTCCATGGAGCAGCTGATGGTTCTGAACTGTGTACCTTTGCCTTGGCAGTTCAATTCCTTACTACTAAGCCACCAGGTAGCCTAGTGGCAAGAAACTACGCTGCAATCCCAGAGGCATGCAGTTCGAGAGCACCAGCTGCTCTGTGTGAGAAGGACAGGCAATCTCCTCTTGTGAGATTACTATTTCTGAAAACCTGTTGGAGGGTCAGCTATAGTGTACAACAACAGGCCACCAGAAAGGTCCCTCAAATAGTAATTTGCCTAGTATAATTGAAAATTTAAAAATTATTTTTGCTACTTATAATTTCATGTAAATTTTCTATTTACATCTTCAATATTTTATCATTAATTATAAAAATAATTAAAAAATTAAATAATTTCAACCAAAAAATACTCTTTATATAAACTAATTAACTCATTGCCATCAAGTCTCAACCAATTTATAGCTGACTCTCCAAGGGGTTTTCAAAGACAGTAAGTCACACAGGAGGAAAATGCTCATCTTCCTCTCAAGGGGCAGACAGTGGATGAGAATTGCACACCTGTGGGCTGGCAGCAATGACCTATCCACTAGGCCACACGTGCTCACCTTTAAATAAAAAAGTGATAGTAAAATATCTTTAAAAGGCACATAATTCCAAGCATGATGTTTTCCCATGCCCAAATACTCAGCAGTGCCAGTGGTTCTCATAGTTCACAGGTGAATAGCATTAGCTCCACCTGGAAACTTTTTGGAAATGCAAATCGTCTGATCCCATTTCAGACCCTGAGTTCCTGATGGTACAAGTTACCAAGCTCAACTGCTAACAAAAGGTTGGACATTCAAGTTTACCAGAGGCACCTTGGAAGAAAGGCCTAGCAGTCTGCTACCTTTTATCCCCCAGAATTGACATTGAAAAGCCATTTATACTCTGACACATATGAAGTCACTAGGGGGTCAAGATCAACTCCATGGGAGCTGGTACTTGCACTCCAGGTATGTTGTTGTTGTTGTTATGTGCCGTCAAGTCGTTTGCGACTCATAGCGACCCTATGTACAACAGCCCTAAACCGTGCTCTATCCTCTGCCAATCTCATTGCCTCTGACAAACCCATCCCGAGTACCCCAGTCACTGAATCAATCCACCTCATAGAGGGTCTTCCCCTCCTGCGCTGTCCCTCCACTCTTCCCAGCATGATGTCCCTCTCTAAAGACCTGTCTCTCCTTCCAACATGTCCAGAGTATGTCAGACGAAGCCCCAGAATCCTTGCCTCCAAGGAGCAGCCTGGTTTAATCCTCTCTAGGATGAATCTGTTTGTTTTCGTGGCAGTCCATGGTACATTCAATACTCTTTTCCAGCACCACAGCTCAAAGGCGTCAATTCTCCTTCTATCCTCCCTAGTCATTGTCCAACTCTCTGATGCATAACAAGTGATTGCAAAAACCATGGCCTGTATCAGGTGGACCTTAGTCTCCAGAGAGACACTGTTGCTCTTGAGTATTTTGGAGAGGTCCCTAACCACAGACTTTCCCATCGCAATACGTTTTTTGATTTCCTGGCTACTGGTGCCAAGAGTGTTGACTGTGGAGCTGAGCAAACTGAAGCTGTGAACAATCTCAATCTCTTCCCCATCCATCCTGATGCTACCGATTGGTCCAGTGGTGAGAATTTTTGTCTTCTTAACATTGAGCCTCAGTCCATATTGAAGGCTGCAGTCCTTGACCCTCTGCAGTAAGTGCATGAGGTCCTCCTCAGTTTCAGTGTGCAAGGTTGTGTCATCTGCATAATGCAGATTGTTGATAGATCGTCCACCAATCCTAACGCCACGCCTCTCCTCATAGAGCCCAGCCTCTTGGATAATGTGCTCTGCATACAAGTTGTAAAGGTATGGAGACAGGACACATCCCTGACGTACACCCTTCCCAATTTTGAACCATGCAGTGTTGCCCTGCTCTGTTCTGACGACTGCCTGTGTTTCACTAAGTCCTTTAGAGTTTGATCTAAGCCTTTTTAGTTGTTTCCTATGCATCTGAAAAGTTGGCCAGTGAATAAGGATGACAGAGAAGAACTGATGCCTTTCCACTGTGGTGCTAGAGAAGAGTACTGTATATTCCATGGACTGCCAGAAACACAAGCAAGTCTGTCCTGGAAGAATTGCAACCACTGTGCTTCTTAGAGGCGAGGATGGTGAGAATTTGTTTCACATACTTTAGGCATGTTGTCAGGAGGGGCCAGTCTTTGGAAAAAGACATCATTCTAGGAAAGGAAGGGAGTCAAAAGAGATGCAGACCCTAACAGGATGGATTGACACAGTGACTGGAACAATGGGTTCAAGCCCATTCAAGGAGACCATGTAGATGGCACAGGACAGGGCAAGGTTCAAATCTGTTGTTCATAAGGTTGCTGTGTGTTGTAGTTAACTCAGTGGCACCTAACAACAACTAGATTCTGAAAGGAGTTCTGATGGTGCAGTCTGCTGGCCTAAAGGATGAATCTCTGACAGTTCAAATCCAAGAATGGCTCTAAGGGAGAAAGATGAGCAGTCTCCTTTTGTGTAACTTAAAGCTTCAGTAACCCAACAGAGTCAGTTATGAGTTGGCCTGATACACTGGCAATGAGTCTAGATAATAACATATTCTCTTCTATGAATTTATACCAAAGAACCAGGGAGCTCTGTGGTAAAAAGTTATGCTGCTGATCTGAAGGCACACAGTTCAAATCCACCAGTTTATCAAATTATACAAAATTATTATACAATTTTCTCCTTCTTTTAAAAAGAAATTACTTTGGTTAGGAAAATGGGCTATTTGCAGAAAAAATTAAAGATAGCTCATAACCCTTATATCTAAAAAAAACCTCAACTCAATATATATTAAAGATGTAAGTCCAAAAACTATAAAGATCATCAAAGAAAAAAAAATACTAATGAGTCTGGTGGTTTAATGGTAAGGAATTACACTGCCAACCCAGAGGTATGTGATTTAAATCCACCAGTTGCTCCACCACAGAAAGATGGGCAGTCTTTTCCTGTGAGATTTATGGCTTCTGAAAACCAGCTGGAGGGTCAGCTATGTGTCAGCTCCAACTTGACAGGGCTCAACAATAATACATGACATAAATATACAGCAAAGATAAATAATACACACACACACACATACACAGCAGAAAGCAAACTAGACAACTGGGACTTTCTAAAAATCAAACAAAAATGTATGTTCATTAAAACACTTCACCAAAACAGTATCTAAAGACTCGGGGTGGGGGATGAGGGGAGGAATTGGCAATGACCGTGTCTTGCAAGGGACTAAATCTCTAAAATATTTTTAAAGTGTCAACACCTCAGCATCAAAAAGGCAAATAATAAAAATACAATGGGCTGAGGACATGAACTGACATTTTAACAAAAAAGAAAGACATTCAGGTGGCCAACACATACATGAAGAAATGAGTGGATGCTGCCTCACAGACCCTGCAGAAAGGAGAAGACCTGCAGCCTCTAATATTCAACGCCGTGACTCTTTACTGAAGCCAAAGGCTTCAACTTTCTCCCATAGAGCAACTGACCTTTTTGGTTACAGCTGTGGGGTATAACCACATGCCCCCAAGTGTCTGCCTCAGCCATCCAAGAGATGCAAACTAAAGCAACAATGAAAAATCATCTCACTCCAGCATTAACCAA